GACGCCACGGCCGCGACGTCCACCAGAGGAGGAGATCGCGCACGATGACGAGGTCCATGACGATGCCACGAACCCATGCGCCACAAACCGACGCGTCGTCGTCGACGCCCTACCGACTTCTCTTCCTCTTCCTCCTTTCCTCTCTCGCGTTGTTCGCCCTCTCTCGTCTAACCTTCCTGATGCCAACGTCGATCGATGCTTTTATCCTGCGTCCTTCTCCTCCGCAGCCAGTTAAATGTCACTTCTCGCGCCACCGTTTGAACGTGTTCTTCGACAGAGTCCTGGTGTCCTCGGTATTCCGCGTGTCACACGCATTGGCATACGTTTTTCCATTTTTGTATCGGGCGAGCCCCTTGAGAAGATTGAGACCGCTGGGAATTGCGGTAGGTCTCAAAGTGGGAAACGAAGTCGAGTGGTTTGAGGTAAGAAGAGGAAGTTTCTGCGTTAGGGATTCGACCTAGTCCTGTCTGATAAGTTTCGTTGTAAATGTATCGGGTGGCTGTTAAGAAATTATCTCCAATTAAACGATATTTTTAATATATTTGTGATCTTTTAATAATAGCAAAAGGAAGATGAGACAAAGTGAAATATCGTTTTATACGTGTGCTACTAATAACCTTCGTTTATGATTGTTTTAATAGATACGTTGAAAGAATTTGTAAAGCTAGTCGATGGCGAAGTAAAATACTTTTAACGAGAAAACTTTGAAATATTTTAAAGTGTAGAATATTTACATTATAAATTTCAGTGGATGAAAGTATATAAGACAAATTTACGCGAGGTAACGACACAATTTTCTTTCACATCCTACGCTGTACAAAATCGGACCAAGTTCTATCGCTTGGTATTTCGAAACAATGGTTCCAATGTTTCGAAACAATTGCCATTCACAACGTCGACAGCTACTCTTCCTCTCGGAAAGCTTTTAACACTTTGTAACAGAATTTACTAGCAGGCTTTAATCTTTGATTGGCACGACGACGAAGAAAGAGGAAGGACAAGTGACGTAACCGTGGGAACTTATGGAAGACAGTGATTGTCCCTCAAGGCATAAGGAGATTTTAATTACGCGTATATTCTTATAAAAAGCTAGTTATACTTTTTATGAAAAAAGGTTCCTCGTTTCAAATACTCGGTTCTCACTGTCGATGGATGGAAAGAGGTTTGTAATTAATCTAATAAGAAGACCTAAATTATTTAGATACGCCGCGTCGACGAATAGTTTAATTAAATGGTTTAACGGTCATCGATAATGAGCGGATGTTTTGTACGTGCTGTCACTTGCCAAGAAGCTGTTGGCACTTTTGCAAGGGACTATCGGTGAGTGTCGTTCGCGAAACATTGAAGCAGCACTCCGATGCTATTAACGAATCGCAACAAGAGGTCCACGATTCTATTTCCTTCGGTGACGAGGCGTGCGACAGACAATTTACATTGACTCCTTTTTTATTTTCAGATAAACGAGCGAAGCTGAATTACCGACGACCAGAGAGTCGCGTTTATCCAAAGGGAATCGACGGAGTCGCCTACGCGATGCCAATTGCTTCGAGAATATCATCGATCCATATCGAAATCTTGGAAGAACAGAAATTAGAAACGTAATAAATATTCGAGGACATACATCGCTATAACCGAGAATAACATGTTTTATCGACAGTCCGATTCGAACCGGTTTCTCTTTCCTGTCTCTATTAATCCACAATTATATCTATGATATCTACTGATATAAAATGAACGTGTCGTAAAGTTTATATATAGAAAACGACGTAAGAATTCATAGGATTTCAGAGAATTTAATTGGTCATGGAACTAGTTCGCTTGACAAAACCGCATAAAGAACGAGCGATATCGTTGGTAGAATGTCGTAAGAAATATAGTACGCGTCTTATCGATAGTTCATACTGCTCTACGAAACACCGACGCGTTATCCACATGTCATTGTTGCGTAACGAACGTGATAATCGTAACTAATAAACAAAACAGCGGGAATCGCAGCCTCTGACTGATGCTTTACAAGCTCGTCGTATCTCGTCTCATGACACATGTTTGCACGATCCTCGTCTTTTTTTATCTCAATTATATTCATTCGATACAACGCAGACGCTGTAAAAATGTCAATTCTGTCGCATACTTGCGTTCCAAATTTGTCAATATTGTTCGTTCTTTCCTTGACTTTGGAATTGTTTTTCGTGTTTAAACTATTGAGCTTAATTGTTGGCTGAAATACGTGCTTATCACCAAGCGATATCGTATCTCAAGTCGTTGTACAGGCTACGTTAAGCCGGAACGTTTTAGTTTATTATGAAACAATTATTAAACAATGTATCAACGAGCAATTTCATTTGAGGAACATTTTTTCAAAACACGTGTCCGTAATTACTAGAGTCGTTTGCGATTACCATTTAATCGAACACTTTCCCAACAAGTATTGGCAGATTATATCGTTTTATCGGTAACAAACAAACATCTGTTCGATAGGAGAACGCGTACATGTAAACACAAAGAACAGATCGTTGATAAACTTTCTTCGTTCCGCAGGTTGTCTCAAAAATAGCTACGCTGACTAATGGACGAACTAGACGCAAGTCGGAATACAAATTAGGAGACCGCGCATATGCTTCGTTTAATATGGCCTACTACAGGTCGCTTCAGAAGAAATTACTCTGACAGAGTGTAAGTTACTGCGGAAATCTTTCCGTAAATCGTTCCTCTTACTCACTAGTGTACATAAAATCGAATAAAATAGTCCATTATATACGTAAACATGGAAAATTGAACAGAATCGTAAACTTTTTTACGACAATCGTAAAATTGCGCACAAGAAAACATCGTCTAAAAATTAAGATGTACGTTGACGAACCAAAAATCTGTACCGATTCAAAACGTAGATAAACGAAAAAGAATTCGAAGCTACGATTAAAAATCGACTCACTGCTTAACCAACGTAAACGTATTCCAAAATAAATTGAACGAAACTGAAATAAATTGATAAACAGACCGATACAATGCGTCACTGCTACGTAATACGGTGCAAACATCGCGTGCCAACATAAGACGAGAGTGTAGATTTCATTCACAAATCATCAAAGTGCAGCGAAACAAACGTTTCTGACCAAAGCATCCGGAGTACTGCTCTATCGTGACATTTACCATTTGCTAAATGATAGATTTTTCGAATCTTCCTATTGATCTGAATTTCCAGACAGAAAAATGTGAGTAGTGGCAATCATGAACGACCCGCGGCAGGTGCTTCGTCACACTTATAAATAGGCTGGACATCGTCGTCTATTCCTCCTACACGGTTCAACATAGAAGTATGCAGATCACACGCATACAGGGGCACCTGTGCGTGAACGATCAATAAAGACTGATCCATAACCTTTGCACGATGAATTTCATGAATCTAGTCTGTTCCAAAAGAGTTTGTACGCAAACCGATTCATATGCAAATTGCATTCTTGCCAATTTTTTGCGGTAGGTCCGGCACACGGTTCGAAATAAGCGAGTTAAAAAGAAATTTCATGTTCGAGAAGATTAAAACTGAGCTTTTCAATGTTCCAGTGCAATTTTTATCGCGTATATATAGTACTCATAGTATTCTAATAACTTGTAACTCTCAGAACTCGTCTAAGATAGTTTATGATATTATAATAATTTTTGTGATATTTCGACGTTGAGATTTTGTGCAAACTTACCGATTCTTGAGATGATCTCGAATTCGATAGTCGATTTCTCCGATATTTAATATTCTAATATTTCGCTATTTTAGCGTTTTTTTAATCTGCTATTTCCATTTCTTTTACACTGCAGTGCGGTAAGCTTAAGTAACTCAACTTAATCGATTGCCAGACACAAGCGTGGCTTGGTTAAAAACGATACAGTCGATGATATAACTAAGCAGTGATTATTCGAACATTTCTTAGAAACTCATTAAATTCATATATTCAACGCGCGCATAAATTTTATGCATCTTTCGTAAACGTTGGCAAAGTATCCATCGTGTTTCGAGTTTAAAATCGTTTTAGGGACAGACGGAAAATGATAACACGTGTAAACGAATATTTCCAACTTCATAAAACCTGCCGCTTACTCGTTCCACGCACTTATCCAACAAAAAAAGCCACAAAAGGATAGTGCATCATATCGTTGTATACGCGACTCCATTTGCGCAAGATGCCATAATAAACACTGGAATTGTTCGAATGAATTAGCGGTTTCCTGATAATTATCGTATTTACACGTAGAACCGCAAGTTTTTCGCGTGATCCGCAATAACAAGTTTTTTATACCGCGGTATAAATATTATTTGCGATGAGAGAAAATCATAGGAAACACGGATTATCGCTAATTCTTAATCAGCTTTATAGATTTCACTTTCCACGAGCGTTTTTCAATGGTAGTAAATAATCCATAAAGTTTCTCAATTGGCAATGGAATGTTCATTGATTTCGTGCTTGCCAAAAATATCGCTTAACATCGGCATTGGAACATCGGTTTTTCGTTAGATCATTGTCAATGTCTATCTTGAACGCTACGTTGCACAGAAGTAACGTTTCTTAGTGATAGCTGCCAATAAAAACGAATTTTCGTCCACGTGTTCCCAAGCATTTAATCTTAATCTAGCACTCGTATATTTTGTAGCAAACTTAATGTTTATAAAATTTCTATAAAAACTGTCTCGTCCAATGAAGAACTTCTCACGCCATAATTCTTCAAAATACACTGGTTACACACAGTTATATGATTAATACTAATTATTACTTGTAATCTATTATTTTTAATCGTTATCATAAACTTATCAAGCAAGAAAAGAGATAAATTTGGGATTATCGTTTTAAGAACCGCATAAAAACGTGCAAATATGTACACTGTTGCTAAGAAATACTCACTTTGAAGCTGTTGTATCGTAGCCTGATACTCGGCAAGCTTCTCATCCACGTAATCTTGACTTTGGTTAGCTATTATCTCGGCGGTACTGGGTCCGCTGGACTCTTCTTCCGTTTGCGAGTGATCCAATGGCACTCCAACATATTCGTATTCACCGGGTCTGTATGTTCCAATCATGTATTCCGGTGGTGCGCTGACCAAGGGCGGTGTTGCGCCACTTTCCAACGAACTCTGTTAAAACGCGCCAAAAAATGAGAAGAGGAAAATATACGTGCGTTACTTTATTACAAATACTGCCAATAAGATATAACAAAATTTTGTATAACAGATGTTCCAATTTTAAATTAAACATTTTCTTAACAACATCGCAAATTGTCAAAATGAGAGGAAGATTAAAATATAAAAATTCGAGGGTAGTTTTCCAATACTTTCTCATTTTTTCCTATACCTTGCCATTCTTCCCCTCGTCTTTTATTCCTTTCCATTTCGTTTCTCTTTCCTTGTTCTTCTTCGATTAAAAAAATAATAGAAGAATTCAGAAAAAATCATTTTCTACCTCGAATAAATTACCACGTAATTATTTTACAATACGTCGTGCCGTATATCTACTATACATATTCCCATACGTATTACTTTTAAATAACCACATTTTTTTCTTTTTTTTTTTGTGCCTAATTTAAATTACATGTAAGTCGCGTATCTCGTTATTTTATCATCTTCCATTTCCACGTATTGCCACGCGATCCATGTTCATCTTTCCTGCTCATCCTCTCTACTCGAACGTGCGAAACAGCGAAACAAACAATAGCGAGGTGCACAACAAGGTTCGCGAACCTTTATCGAAAAAATATACGTAAATTCTGTCATTTAACGGTGCATTCACACCTGGCGCGCGTTTGAGAAAACCGGTCGTTGGAACTCGCCGCGGCCTACATTTTATTTAGGTGTTCCTATTTCGTCGTGTTGCCTCGGCCAGTCAGACGAGCGTTCGCGTGGGCGTGAAAAACGAACGGTACACGTGGCGAATTTTCACTGTGAAGCAGCCCGGATCTTCTTCGACACGCCTGGATGTTTCTTTGAGAAGCATTCGTAACGAAAACAAATGGTGATACACATTAAAAAAATCCAGTAACTACAATCGCACTCGCGTTGATGTATATACATATATATTAGAACACCCTGTAGAACAAAATAGTCTGTTTAAAATTGGACCGAACGATTAGATTTTTTTTATCGACGAGTCAAAAGAATTAATTTACTAGATGACGCGTAAACAAAATTTGAGAAAATTGGCATTGGTAAAGATGGCATTTTTACAACTTTTTCATCCGAGTCTACAATAAAAATTTAAACGATACACGTTGTAATTTTGTTTTGTGACAATATTTAAATACATGTTGAAAATTAACCTACCAACCAACCGTCTGAAACTTGTGCAAATCTTATTCGTTAAATGAGTTGTAAAAATTGATAAAATCGTAAAATCAAACGACCAGTTAGAAAAGGCATTTCATCTCTCACGAAAGAACATCTATTCTCGAGACTAAGATCCCTCGAGAAATGCCGGACTTCTCTTTCTCGAGGAAGTTGACACGTGTTTCGTGCCGTCAGTATGATTTAACATGCAACGTTTCCTGTTTCGCCGACAATTTCGTACGATGGTCTGTGTTTAGAACTAGCCGGTTAGCAGCTATCTATATGTTAACTGATCGGTACTGCCTATCCCAATGACTAATGGATCCAAGAATACGGTAAATCTCGCTGCTTTACTTTCCACGGAATCTCACGTTTCCACGATTCTTCTCGATTGTACGTTATTCGGCATTACCTCGCAGCAAGTTATTTAACCAGAATACTAACGAAAATAACGAAAATACTAAGAACAGTATTTCCCCTGCTACGCTCTAAATTCAAGATCGGTTCTAAACATTTTGAATACCTAAAGGAAATTATATTTCTTTACCATGGGTATTACGTATTATCGGTTAACCAGCTTGATAAAAAATTCATGCATTTGCTAAATTTTCCGTTATTAATTTTTCAAGAATTAAATTCCACCTAAAACCTTCTATACTGCACGATCAATTTCCTAATCAATTGCCATCCAAATTCTCAGTACCACGAAATAAACTCTGCTATCGATTCCCAGTAAGCATTCAGCGAAGATCAATTTCACATACGATACGATAAATCCCACTAACGATATCCCAAAATTCAATCTAAAATTCTCAGCATCGATAAATCTCATTATTAATTTCCATTTAAACTTTTCAATGTCAGTAAACTTCATGCACGATTCCTAATTACCGATTTTGATACGGAATACTATTATCGCTCGTGACACCACTTCGAAAAACAACGTACCTGCATCGGTATAAAAGGCCTAGGCGCTTGACTTCCTACTGGAATCGGTGACGGCCACCTGGGTCTAGGGCACTGTATGTATCCTGTGGGCGATCCAAAAACAGGCGACATTCCAGGAGAAATCGGCATTCCAATCGGCACTGGGCTCATCGGGTGCCTCATTCCAGTATACGTCAAGGGCGACGCAGGATGAGCATGATGAACCGGAGTAGGTGGTCCTCGAGCTCGCTGAGGATGCGGCGAGCCCGTGGGACTGTAAGGAGAAGGAGGTCTGTACTGGCCAGACACGTTCGGTCTGGGCGTCCAGCTACCCCCTGGTCCGGGTTTTCCATGGGGTTTCGACGGCGGCTGCGACATCTCTGGCTATTTCGAAGCTCCACGTGTCGCGCTTCGATCACCTAGCATCGCTGTAAAGCGGTACAATGTTTCGTGGATGAGTAAACCGAGCATGTGCGTCATATGCAAAAATATAAAAAGTATGACAGGCAAAGTACTAGTTGTCGAACGAAGCGGATGAGGCAAGCTTTTATTTGGCTTACGCTTGGAACCGCTATGAAATCTACGGATTTAGAAAGATGTCATTTTTACATTAGCTTGTCCGAAAACATAAATAGATAAACGACAATTTCTGTTTCATATTATTTTATCGAATTACGTACGATCCATTTCTATTATTATGTTCGTGCATAATTCAATAAACTGATATAAAACAAAAAGCATTGTGCGTCTATTATTTCCTTATAAAACGAAAGAAACTTTTCGGACAACCTAATACCACTGTTACGTGAGAAAGCTCTTTCTTTAAAAATCCATCGAGAAAAATCCAAAGAAGATTGCCAATTAATTTCAAAATTTCAAATTCATAGTAAAATTGAGAAAATGATTCGAAATGTTTGATCTGCATTTACGTGTAAGCATATACATTTGCATAAATATCCACAGCCTGTTAACGAGTTCTCCCTTAATTAGAATTTATGATGAATTGCCTATATTGAATGTAGAATAGTAGAATGGTTTTACATAATATTTAAAGAGTACTCCGATACGTAGAAAATGAATCGTAATTTTATTTCAAGCCAAAGAACACTAAACTATGAAAGAACGCAACATCTAGTAGATGATATAGGATACGTGAAATTTATAAAAAATTATGTAGAATATTTTCAAAATGTATTAGATCCTGTGGATATATCGATTAGAATTAAAGAGATATCGTATGGAAGTTGGAGTGTCTTGGACGTGTAACGAGCTCTGGGTCGCCTAGTGGCAGTGAGTAGGCAGATTAGGATGGGCAATGGTCCAAAAGTCTCTCGAAATAGGTGCTTCGATTGTCTGCCTACCCGCTGACTTCTGCACGTTAGCGCGTGAAAAATGTGTAATAGACAACTTGCGGCGCCATGCGTGGCATTACACAATGTAAAGGGGCACGAAGTAGAAACAATGAAATTAAACGAGACCATTATCATCCCCGCTTTGTTCTATCTTCCTGTCGATGTAATCTTGCGTTTGTTCAACAGCAGAAAATTCCTCTCCGTCTTGTTAAAGCGAAACGACGCTAAGATCAAAGACCTTTTTTATGAAAAATCTTTACGAATAAAAAAGATAAAAATTTACCGAAATATTTGTAAGCGTGTTTTCGTTGTTCAACAGCAGAAAATTCTGAATCAAGGTCGTTTACGGATTCTTAAACGATACGTAGGACACCAACGAGAATCATAGACATATGTCGGTCAATTATCGAAATATAAGGAAGTTAGAGTAGCGTGGCTTCTTTACGAATAAAAAAGATAAAAATTTACCGAAATATTTGTAAGCGTGTTTTCGTTGTTAAAAATCTGCAAAGGAAGAATCAAGGTCGTTTACGGATTCTTAAACGATACGTAGGACACCAACGAGAATCATAGACATATGTCGGTCAATTATCGAAATATAAGGAAGTTAGAGTAGCGTGGCTGTACGGGTCGAAGGTCTAAAGGTTTTTGGCTGGATATCGAGTGTAGGCCGACTAAATATAATCAGAAATCTATTTTAGAACGATTCGAGCACTGGCCACAGACGCGTACGACAAGGCAAGTATATTTGCAACGACTGCGTCAGATATTTCAGAAAGTGACGCGAATATTAACACCTACAATTAGCTTTGCCGTGACACATGGTGCATGGCGCCATGGTTAGGAATGGCGCCTCGTGTTATTCTAACTTTTCGTTTATCAAAGATTTATCCCGTTCGATACGTAAATTACGTTTACCTTGAAACGAGAGAAATGAGAAATCAGTTAATCCGCTAGTCGGATACACGTTTCGATCGGTAGAAACGCCTCGAGATTTTCTACTTAAAGGAACGATGATGGTCGTGACCTAATTTCGAGAATTCTAGCTATCTCCTTTTGACACTGGCTTCTTTTTACACCGGTGCGCGCATTACTTTAAACTCGGATCCATTTTCGGCGCTGTGAAAACAAATGCAAACGAGGCACGATGGAAATTTATCGAACGTGGCGAGTTTCCCCTGAAAAGAAATAAACGCGCCTGGTCAAAGACACACGTCCATTTTGTTCTTGTTAAAGTTCACGAGCGCCATTACAAGGGGGATGTTGGACGCTCGTTCAGACGACCATACGTTCGAGTTCGTTCCACCGATTTTAATAAAGCATCGACTGAGGCTGGAGGAATCGACTGACGGTCTATTTATAAAACCTACCACTCGACCACGATAAACTGTATAGGTACGTACGTACGTACGATGGCTAGGTGCACACGGATTCTTTCTTCAAACTGGATAAAAATACACATCGGAGTTATGATGTCAAGGAAAGATGAGAGCCTGATATTTTATCCACGATTCGCGTGAAATACATAAAAGATCGAACGTATATCTGATGGATGAGTTGACATTGAAACGACGAAGTGAATAAACGTGGACGAAGAAGATACGCGGAGGAAAATCCGGGCTGAGATATTCGAAAATTAATGGAAGTTGTAGAAGGCTAGAGACGTGGTAGTTATAATACAATGTTAGCTTGCTGGATCCTGGACCTCGGATGCTGCGTCCAAAAATAAGATTACTGCCGAATTAACGAACAGAAATAGTTTTCGTTCTGAACCGATGCTCCTGACACAGGTTGCTCGTACCGGTTATCCTCGATCGACGATAATCCTTGAAATTTTCCATCGTGTCGCGTAGAATAGGATTAAAGCGAAACTCTAAATGTTGCGAGCTGATGATGATGATGATTTAGATGAAACTCGTCCGGGATTTTGAGAAAATCTGCAATTACAGCATACCTTCAGATTACGACTAATCAAATGAAAAGTTTCCGATTCTTCCTGCGTATAAATCCTTTCTTTTTTATCGTTAGTCGATAATATTTTACAAGAAAGTTTGACTACAAAAAGAACAGGAGTAACGAAATTCTTTAAATAATTCACTAAATTAGCACGCACGAAAGAAGATCATCGTCCTCATTTACGTCAAGCTTCTCGACAAGAAAATCGATAACGTTAAATCCAAGATTCCAACGAAATCTCTTAATTTCCCCTTTAACGTGCAAACCAATTAATGGAATATTAATAAAAATGAAAACTATACCGAAAAGACGTCGCACCGCAGACACGAGCGATCAACGAAATCCAATGCGAAGATTGTAAATCTGCAAAGTAGGCAAAAAGCACACGGTAATCGCAACGGTTCCGATAATATCGGAACGTGTATATTCGATCGATTTTCGTTCAAATCTCGATTCCTCGAACTCTCATTCGGCACGAGTCTCGCGTTCCACGATCTCAGGTCTCGAAACAACACGAGCTGAGCCGAAATAATCGAAGATCGAAGTCGCGGAAAATATGGCGCGTGATCGACGGAGATCGATCAGGTTCGATTTTTCGTAGTTCGGTCCACGACGAAGATCACGAAGAGACTAGTCGATCCGCTGGTTCATCGGTCCAGGAGCCGCTTACCGCGACATTTATATTTAACTTTGGCGTCGTTCGAGCTTTCGGCTTGGGATTACCGCTCGCGCGATTCCGCTTAACGTTCCTGTTCTACATTTCCTCGTCCCTGTGCCTCGCTTTATGCCCTCGATGACGATTATCTCTCTTGCTTCCTCCACTATCTGTCGGCCGCTTTTTCCGTCGAGCTTCCGTTTTATTATCGGCGCTGAGGTAAGACCGCGAGAATTGTTCTTCTTTCTCTTCCTTCCCTCATTTTCTTTTCTCTCGCAAGATTCGGATCGGCTTGGAAAGCTTCTTGGCCTTCGGAATTTTGTTCAGTTTCGAGAAACAATTTTGAGACTTTGGTACGGATATTGGGAAAATATGATCGATGGAAATGTGAGTTTGAGCGTTTTACTTTTTATTTTCTTAGGGAAAACTGCGTGGCATCGTGATCGATGTACGTACTTACATAGTCGTGTACGCGCTATATGGTCGGTAATGGTGAGAATGATATTACCACAGACGAGTATATAAGATAGAACTCTTGCATCACCGACGATGTGCAGAATAGACGTGACATGTAATGCTTTTTCGTTTTCCATGTTTTGGGGATCATCTGACTTCCCATGCCATTTTCGTGTCGCATGCAATGTTACCGATTCGTTATGGTACTTGGTTTGAATAAAAACTAAAGTCTAGTATGAAATTATAAATAAAATATAGAACAGGATATGTTATAGTCGCAGCAAAGTATAGAATTTTATATTTTTACGATACTTCAGAAAGCATTACACAGTACCAAAACAATAATAGTGAAATGAATCGTATAATTAGTTTCAAATAAAATTGTAATTTTATATATTTGAAAAATGAAAATGTGAATCTTTTGATCTTCTCTACTCTCATCTTTGTATTCTCAAGTCGATTATTAATTATATATTAAGTGCACGTAGTCTGACTCACAAACTCGTAACAAGATTTATCGATAATGCAGGCAGACTACAACCAACGAGAAGAGCAAAACCATCGTCAAGATCATGTTTCTATGGATGTTAAGGGGAATTTTAAGGACATCTAATCGTGTTATATTTGATTTTCGAGTAATTATGTTTTCATAATCAGAAAGTACTATAACAATAAATTAACAGTACTATAACAATAAATTAATAACAATAAAAATATAACAATAACTATAACTGTAACAATAAATTGAAATTCATCTGCTACATGCTGACAATAACCATTTTCCAAAGTATTTCCCCATTTTTACAATGTTTCTATCCCCGATGCGATAGAATAGGTGAACTTCTAAGAGACGGGATTTTATTCTTTTAATGCTGCAATGAAATTTAATCGTTTAATGCTTCCTTCAGACATATTTATTTATTAATTTGAACAATCTTCATCTTTCGATCTCTTGTCAGGAGGATACAAATAAATAATCACATAAGTAAATATAATAAATAAACGAATGAATAAACTAAAAGCAGAAAAACCGACGAGTAAGAAAAAAAGTGTTATGAAATAGTCACCTTTGCTCACAATTGATGTTTTGTGAAAACTGCTTCGCTCCTTCGGTACGACCCAAATTTTAGCTAACTTTGTTATAGAAGTGAAAGTTGTATTCATATAGATATCTACCATAACGACGTCCAATAGCTTCTTCGATTGTCACATGATGTACAGCTGACATCGGGTACGCTAAAAGCAGTGCTACAAGAAATAGCGTTTATCAATAAAACAACGCTATAAGGAAAACACATGAAAATGACATGGAGACAATGTAATAAGTTATACGATTACATGATTCTGTAACTTTCATACTACATAATTCGTAGTAAAAGGGAAGTAAGGAATTTTAATTGTTGAAGAAAGAATAAGGAATACGAGAATAATAAGAACAATTAAATTCAAAAGATTACGGAAGATACGTCTAACATGCTGACTAAGAAATTGTAGTATAAGAGTAACGCTTATTTATATATTTTGGAATTTTATATATCTTGAAGTCACGATAGAAATATTACTATACTACACCGCAAAAAAATTACAAAACTGCAAAAATTACCAAAACTGAAACATCGTATTTTCGGATCATTAACACCAAACTTCAACAGGTGTTTACCTTGGCCTTCACAGGTATTGTTTAAAGTAGCAACAAACCGTCGACGAGAGTTTTTGTAAACAGCGCTCTCTGTTTTTGTCTTGGCGACCTTCGCTATGTGTCGAAGCTTTCCTTCTGTCAGAAAAACAAACCATAACAAAACAAACAAACCAAACAATATCAAAGCGTAACATACCAAAACAAGAGAAAGAAAAGACTCGCTTACCCGACCTTCTTCTGGCTAACCTTGTTCCTTAGTTATAAGGTAGAATAATTATAATTTCAACCGATCTCAATCCTCTTCTCTTTGAAGCTGTGCTCGTTTATTAACCGATCCCATTCCAAAACGATGTTTCTCGCGCGAATCGATCAAAGACTGCATTATACACCACATATGTGGATTTACACAGGTTGAACGATTCTAGGTCTTCTGTGACTCGTCTCGGAGTTTACACGACGAAGGTATTGACTTTATTGATAAAAATTGTTTGCGTATCAGTCGATAGAGCTGTTTGATATTATTATAGACGAAACTTCCATAAATACTACGTTCATTGGAACAAGAGAATTAAATAGTTTGTGGATCGTGCTGAATGGACAAGAAAAAATTCATAAAATAGCAACGATTAGTGGGCGTTATGACTGTACGCAACTGTATATGCAGTTTTATTTAATATGCAAGAATAAATTGTAATCGTAATTGTGATAGCTACTTTTTATTTGTAGAATCGTGGAAAGCAAGAACCACTCCTCTTGCGCAAATTGGCCAAAAACAAACGTCGCAACGCATTATGTACATAGATTACATTCGGCTGGACTAATCTAGATTTCTTGCGACACAGTATTTTAAATTACAGAAATATCCATTCGTAATTGTTTCGGGCCTTCATTTTTCGCTGCAGTTTCATTCTGAATGTTATACTCAGATCTTCAATTTTTCATAATTTAAATTGGCGTACGAAACGGCACATACCTCACTTACGATTGTTGTTGTCTGCGATCGTTTCCTCCGAACATGGCTTTCCTCTCGATTGTGAAACACGATCCTCCTTTTAATCTAAGGTTCGTTCTTGGAGCAACATTTTTATCGCCACGTTGAACATGAAGCGACATCTTTTTGTCAGAAAAACATCGTTCACGATATTAACTCACGCGATTATCTTTGTTCTTTAAAACTACGGCTAACAAAAAAAAATCTGCGGCTAACACATTTCCATTAATAATTGCCCTGTTTTCCTTTTCATTCGGTGACAATATTGCTTTAAGTCGAATCTTCGCTTTTGGGAAGCACGCGCAATAAATCATTTCTTCTGATTTTGTGTTAAATTTATAATTGAAATATAGGCTGTTCAGTCTCGTGTCCTCTTCGATGTTATTCGACTGTTACGGAGAAACGCGCGCAAGTGTGACTTGCTCTCTCGACGTTTATTTATATTTACGAATAGCAGTCTATGAACTACATTCTGTAGATGAACGTTTGAGAACGCGTCGACTCACGTAAGCGATTCGCGTGCAGTCCGATAGAGGCGCGTGACTAGTTCGCTGTAGATTCGTGAAACTAGTTAAATTGTCGATCGACACGATGTGCAAGATAGGGGCGCGAAATTCAAACATTACGAGCACTTATTCCATGAAACAATTCGCTCTTGTATCCGGTGACCGATGTCCTGAATATATCGCGATTATCGAAAACATATCTTTCGTTTTTATTGCCTGCCTTGGTTTCCTTCGCCTCGCTGAATCGACCCAGCTGTAACTTATCAGGCTAACGAAAACAAGAAAATACCTGAATATCTGAAAGGCTGTATCGCGTCATTTTTAACGATCAACAAATGGATCTTCTCGAGAATATCCGTGACCGATTTTCACCAAAGCACACGAGAATCAGAACGAGCTGTTCGAGTGATGAAATTTAATTTAACCGGAGATTGATATAGTGTATTTAGAGTTTGTTACATAGCTATAACTATTCTGTGATTAGATGCTATTTGCAGTTGTTAGATACCGTTATTTACCTAATACGTATCCATATTTTTTATTATAGCAATGTGTTGTAAGTAAAGTTTGGCTACTTTGGTAAGTTCTAAGTATTAGTTCTAAGTTCTTAGTATTTGTAGTAATATAATAAAATGGATCATATATAATTTGATAAAATAATATAGAACAAAGCTTGCACCTATTATTTCCTTATAAAATATATGACATAAAGAAACTTTTGGGATAATTTAATAGAATAATAATTACAAATTTTAATAATATCATTGAAAAGATAAAAATGCAACAATACTGTACCGTCCGGTGACTCTTTACATCAATCAGAATCCATCCCTCGGTCAAGACGATCACTTGCTGTACAAATATAATTAGTCGGACCGTACTAAGGAACTGTAATGAACTAAGCATTTGCATGTTACCGTTAGGTTCCTTATTGGTTATAAAATATATTCAAGTCGAGATGTTCCTTATGATTATTGTTCCATCAGGTAAAAGATGGGAAAGTCGAGTTTCCCCATGTTCAACGATCATGCCTACCTGCAAGCGACCGATGGTAAGGCGACCAATACCCAACGATAGTTTTCCTTTGCGACAGCGACATTACCGTCATTCTCTGGTTCATCGTCCTTAGATCAGCCAACATTTCTTCATCCTTAAATCCTTAATCCTTAAAAATTCCATCCTTAAAAATTACGCACCCAGCGTAACTGTCTATATCTACAAATTGTCGGAATAAAGTGCATATTGTAACCCGTTACCTCAATGTTATAATCAGTTCAACCAACTCTATTATCCTAAACGAAATCGATTATTTCATGGCGTCGATTGTCTAATCGTAACAGGAATTTACAACTCTAACTAGCGCACTTCCTCGCGATCGCATCTCTCCGCGAACGGTCGAACAGATATTTAAGTATAAAATATATGTTACAGCTCTGATAAACCTCTCGTCAATACCAAAATTCCACATAATGAAAAAAATAAATTAAACTTTGTTAAACAACGGATAATAGATCAATTGCGATAAATGCTCCACTGGCGCTGTAGTCTTCTACACTGAATCGATAACGTCGGATATGATACGAAAATGGCATAGCGGTTCAGGCAGGAGACTTTCAAAAGATAGCGTTAATGCCCTCTGCATTGACGAATGACGATGCTCTCTACTACAAATGATAAATTACCCTGTGACGATAAAGTGAATAACTGATCTTTCTTAAAAAATGAATTTTTTGTTATATTCATATTCCTATTTTTACTTAACCATTTATTTTAGTTTATACACCTTCGATCTCTTGGTGTATTGTTTATAAATTGCTTTTGATATAACTTGCTTTGAATATATCAGTGATCATAACTCCAATTTATACATAATATCTTTATAACTTACACAATTAAAACGAAACGGAAAATGAGGTTGTTTAATCGATGTTCATATAAAATCAACAAAAAGTTGAAAATTGTGAAACTAAAAGGTTTTGTATCTTATAAATATATTCCTGCTTCCGAACAACGACAGTAATGTTAGCTAACATTTACAATAAACGTAATTGGGACACAATGATCTTATTTGTTATCTATTTGTCCTTCATGATGTATCGATATAGCCTACAACCCATTATGTTAACACTATTTGACTCTTTTTGTGAGCAGAATAGCAGAGTCCAAACTACAAAAAAAATTACTAACAATATATATATACATTATCGATCAATTGTGTCTAATGCGACGACTTACAAATAATCATTGTTCGACCGTTTGCGGAGAGACGCGATCGCGAGGAAACGCGCCAACAGGAGTCGTAAATTCCCGTTACGATTATATAACCGACGTCACGAAGTGATCGATCCCCTATTTCGTTTAGGATAATAGAAGTGGTTGAACTAATTATAACACTGGATTAACAAGTTACAATATACACTTTATTCCAACAATTTGTAGACATAGACAGTTACGCTCGGTGCGTAATTTTTAAGGATGGAATTTTTAAGGATTAAGGATTTAAGGATGAAGAAATGTTGATTGATCTAAGGACGATGAACCAGAGAATGACGGTAATGACGCTGTCGCAAAGGAAAACTATCGCATAAGATATGTTTATGTAGAAAGAAGTGTGAAATTCGAATGTTTGGAATGATCGTCTGGCTTCGTCATCCTCAGTCTTAAAAAGAAAAAGCGAAAACACTCGAGCATGCTAAAAATAAGACCCTCTCCCTCATTACGTCGTGGATTAGCAAGATTTTACGATCGTTTTACGACTACAATGCCAAACTTTGTAAATACAATTGTCAACACGAACGAACATCAAAAAGTACCCATACGATTTTGACTGTGTCGAATCAGCGTAGCGCTTTATAAACGACCTTGTACTTGACTCGCCTAATGTTGACTTATATTTAAAAAATAATTTCCAATTACTATTTTATACAATCATTCGATATGTAAAAAATATTAAATGTAAAAAGAGATGGCTTAAGCATGAAACGGAAGTTTTATAAATAAGAACGTTCTCTCAATTGGCTCATTAGCTCAGTTGGTTAGAGCGTCGTGCTAATAACGCGAAGGTCGCGGGTTCGATCCCCTCATGAGCCAAAATTTTTTTTCTTGTTCGCATTTTCATATTTTATACAAGAGCTGTTACTATTCGACCTATTTTGTCTTGTTTATCGTTTTAATTATTCGGTTAATATGCACCTATGCACGTTATCAGCACATGAAATATCACGTGGATTTCCTTCCCAAACCAATACGCAACGATAGTTATCGACTACGTTTAAAAGATACACGTAAAAGCGATTGAACAAATGTTATATCATCCTTATCACACCGATAAGCTAATCGTAAATCTTAAGTATTAGTACTCATGTGAAATTCACAAGCGTCCGTGAAGGCCAGCGACATTGATCAAGAGCTATCGAGTTGCTATCATTTGTCCAAATTCTATCTTAAATTGACGAAAAAGAAAGACAGCCAAACACAAGATTTATCGCAATGTTTATGATCAAAATAAATACGATAATAAATGATTCGTTAAAAATTCTTCATCTACAAAATTGATTCGACAAAACGCTTTAAGTTACGTTCCTGGAAGATGTCCTTTCCTTCGGTGCGTTATTTGTCTGTGGATCGAATACAGTTAGCTGTGCCATATACAGTTGGTTGATGCAAAAAGTTGCAATATATGCGGCAAAATAAATTTCCACGATGAGCTATGGCAATTTCCAATGGTTCAGGATTGCACATTCCGCGACACGTAACCCTTCTTCATTGAAAGGGTGTCGACCGTAATGCGCCTGCCCTCCACCAATGCATATATATACAGTACTACACGTATCCGTATGCAACTAAGAAAGCACTATACCAGCACATTCCTGGAACTTATCGATTTGGCCGCAAGCTGAGCTTTCTTTGGCCAAATCTGACGTCACAGACGGCAGCTGATAGGCAGAATTCAACTCTGCACGATTCCCATTGGTCGACGAGCCGGTATAAACGATGCCTTCACAGTAACCTGTTCCAGTTGTGTTGTTGTTCACTCACTGTACGCTTGGTAAGTACATTTCGCTCAGAATTCCATTGTTTTTCATTACTCCAGCAATATTTATTTACCAATTTTTAAGAGGTTATTAATGTTGTCGTTTTTTAGTGTTTTAAATAATTCATGAAAATTTTCGCGAATTTTGCAAAATTACTTAACCTTCGACGTAGTTTGCCAGGTGATTTGACCTATCGTTGGCGTTCCATTTTATTCAAACATGGTTCTAATCTTCATGATAAATATTCAAGACTCATATTTAATTCCTTTTATGTTAGTATTGTGCTGACTGTAAAGTTCAAAAAAAGTATTCGCGTTAGTAAGACAATCGCGAGTATATTGACAAAGTATTGTTAGTGTTCGTCGTTCTTAAATATTCTATCGAATAATAACGAAATCGATGGTCGCTTTGACGCAAAACCATCGAAAGAACTTGCTTTCGCTAAACTAGTTCCTAGGAAATTGTAGTCGCAGTTATCAAACTCAATGTTCGTTTACATAATGCAAGAATGTACATTCGAAGGACAGGCGTTTCAAATTCCATTCGTTCGTTCCGATGCCAAGAGTAATACGAATTAAAATTTCAATCAATATGTCATTTAGACGGATATAGCCGATTCGTGTTTCCGCAGTCTGTAACTGCAATGCATATGCGCGAATAGTCAAAGGCCGGCAACATCGATTTGTCAAACTCTCACAGAACCACCTGCCACGAATTAGTGCATTTCCAGGAAAACTTTGCCAGACTCTTCTTCGTGCAAAAATAAAAATAATAATTATTAAATTGACGTTTCCTTTTCTATCAATTTTTATTTTATAACATTGAGAGAGTCGTAAATTGTGAATTATATTTTCTCTAAATAATTTTCGCCAAAGAAATTTCATTGATATAACATCATTAAAAATTAAGATAACCACGACTGTATAACTTCGTGTTTTCTTCGTATTTCATGATATTGTGACGCAAAAATATAAACATACTAATTGCAAGCTATTTTTCAGGAAAACTGGATTACAAATCATCATAGTAAAAAGTAAATCATTTTGTTCTGTGCTAATTTTCTGCTGGTATTTATCGCTGAACGTCGAAAGAATACATAACTACAGTGACTGTGTTGACTTGATCGTGTACCAACGATTGCTATACCGCAACCGCGTTCGCGTCTAGGATAATCAATATACCTGCACCTTTCCAGCAGCTGTATCCTCGTGCGCAAGGATATCTCGGTACTCCGCCTCTTCAAGGCTCGAAATCGTTAGAAAGGAAGATAACATACACGAGATAAATCTTGTTTACATACTTGTTTCACAATTTGCGCTTGTTTATCAAGTTGATCGACCTAAGATCTCTACATAGAAGACCTTTTGAAATATGGACATTTAATTATTCAATAGCGCAAACAAAAACTATTTCAATTATCTCAACAAACATTTGCTTCGATACGTTACAAATTGTAATACGATTCAGAATTAAAAGCTAATTGAAATTAATTGGTTTTATTCGATAATAAAAATCAGAAATACATTTCATTTGTTTAAGAAATTACACGTATATGCATGTGTATATATATACATATATATGTAAGTATGGTATATGAAAAATATGGGTGCAGCAACGGGTGCAGGCGCATGGCCGAAGTTTACTATCGATCGCATTGTTTGCAAGCGTCTTGCATGGCCTTTCGACACAATAGGACGCGTCGATAGCTAGCACTGCCGATGGAGAAATCGTGGAACCGAGCGAGTAGAAGGAATCGAAGTTCGTAATAGAAATCGGTGGCTGAAGGTTACGAGCGATTGCCAGAATTTATGATTTTAAATTTTAAATTACAAGACTCGTTGAAATTATTTCGATACCAAGACGATTTACTCTTCGACCTTCTTCCAGTAAAATTTACCTACGATAAAATCGATATTTAGCCTAGATTTTCCAATCGATCGCTTAGAGTTGAAAAATTGCTAATTAAACGAAACGTTGATTATATAAACGGAATAGATTATAGAAAGGAAATCGTACGAGAGGTTGAGGTCCTTGACATCGGACAAGAACGACGCGAATACGACGAGCAAAGTGCAGATGGGGCCGAATTCGACCTAACTCGAATCACAACTCGCGGACTTTGCCCCACGACTTGCCTTGGCAACGGTACTCCTTTCGTTTTTTACCGCGTGGAAGTCTTGGGTCTGGCTACTCGCGAATAATCGGCAGAACAGAAAACCATCGCTTTGTTCGATCGTATGAGAACATCGTGCACGATACCTGCGACAACGTTTCACTTTGGCAAAAATAGCCCTCACGGTCGCAATAACGCGTTACAGATATAACTGGTTTCAACGTTGAAAACCGCGATCGAGTAGAGTCGACTCTCGTTTCTTCCATCGAAGGAAACAAAGGCGCCCCAACGGCGCCACTTATCCTGAACAAACTATATATGTTTTATTCTAAACATAAGATCTGAAAAGTTATTAAACGAGACAAAGATTCGCGACTTGTTCGTGCATAGTCACGCTGGCCGTTTCCCAATAGTTTTCTAAGCCGTCTATTTTCGTGTCATTCGCTGCAAGTTACGTTTTGGCTGTCCACGCGCGAGAACAGTGTCATTGAGCGCGGAGTAACGTTACATAAAATTGAGTTGTGGGAACTTGACGTCGTCCGGATAATTATGACACAGGTGCACCGATAGGTTACGTTTACAGAGACTAAACAATCGGTTGTCCCAGTTGCCAAGTCACGACGCGCTCGTCTGGGCCGTGTTTCGCGATATTCTATCGTGTTCGTATCCCGATAACGACGAATTACATGTAGTTTCTCTGATGCGTCGATGTTCGTCGAACGATCGTAGCTCCACTCTGCTCGACCACTTTGTCGGCCATTGAACTTTTGTTATTTTCGTTAAACTCGTGGAGGCGTCGATAGTCGATCGATAGTCGAATAAAGATAATTTAGATCGATATGTGTTGGCGAGCGACAAATTAACGAATTTCACGAGAGACTAACTTATCGACTGTTGTTTCTCCTTTGGTGTCTGTTACAGAAGAATAGTATGTATAAAGTACTTCACAATCAAGACATAAAACACGAGTGCTCGCGGTCAGGGGGACTGCACGCGTATCCTGATCATTTCAGGGAACCTAAAAAGCTCTACCTCTAAACCACAGCCGTTTAATAAATGATCATCTGAAGGTTCCTGTCCTCTGGTAGGACTTTGTATATAGTGTACATATCGCTTTTCTAACAGAGGATCTCGCTCAGATAAGCGGAGCAAGCTCGAAGGATCAAAGATATGGTCACGCGGTGATTGAAAGGAGTCGAAAGAATTTGAAAATTTGCACTACTCGAATCCCATACATTCGGCGCATTCATCAACCTAGACCGCACTGATCGGACTAAATAGCTAAAACGCGATAAAAGAGGAGATATTGGTGGAGAGAAAGAGAACGAAGAGAAGAATGAGCACGATGGAGCAACAAACGTCGGACGAATTCCCTTTATGGATGAAAGTACTCTCTGCAGGCACAGCAGCCTGTATCGCTGATTTAGTGACGTTTCCTTTGGACACCGCCAAAGTCAGAATGCAGGTAACTAAATACGTATCGATTTCCCACGTCACTATCAAATATTAAACGTTTCAACGAACCTTCTGTTACGTACCTTTTGTTAAAGCGTCCAGCTCGTTCTGTTTTGTTCTTACGAACGATCGTTGGCTCGTAAAAATTAGGTAGTGCGCCGAGCGTAGTTTAATGAAAACCTATCTATCCGGTGATAGAAAACGTAAGTGATACCCGTACGATTTTTGTAGATTGCCGGAGAAAATCATCCTATTCGGTTGGCAACAGCGAACGGCATCATGGTTCGAAATACACAGCCAGGATTATTGAGGACAGTAGGAAACATCATCAGAGTGGAAGGAGCAAGGTAGGTTATTCACGATCCTATCCGTAACTTAAGACGAACAAGGGGTAGGTAAAAGCCTGATTACGATTACGATATTGATATAAGTATTAAATATCGTTAGCGTATATACGATTCTTCCGATTCGAATCAAAGTTTATACACGCCGGGCGATTCTTTACGCCCGCTCCAATGACTATTTGATCGCTTAATTATTTAAACTTAAAAAAGAAAAAAAAAAAAGAAAAAGAGAAAAAAAATTTCCGTACTGGCTGATCGTAGGAGCTGTTCGTTCGAATAACTTGATGCTATCGTTGAATTAGTAGACCGCACATTAACTCTCTCTCTAAAATAGCTTCTTGGCATTCCATGACTCCAGAATATTTCCAATTCTCTGCACATGGCCCCGCGATTCGATTGCTCTTCCGATCTCGTTCTTTACTAACTACCGACTCGATCGACGCCGTCGTCGTTGTCGTGCACTTTGCAGATCTCATTAGTATCATAGTAAATGCGTCGTATTATCGTGCGATCCTCTACGATCGTACAGCGTTCGATTCGATGTACTCGATGAGAGACAAGTGAACGAGAAAAGTAGAGAAAACGCGCGACGTTGCGCGCTATGAATCATAGAATTCGAATTTCCAAGCGCATCGACAACGACGAACGGGGATCGAAATAACATAATGGAAGTAACGAAATCGCGATTATACAAGTTTGACTAACCGCTGATGCACTGGCATTTTACTTCTCAGTTATCTTTGCTTATTTCTAACGGTAATTGGGTTACGCTTGTTTCTTTTTTTCTTTTCTACGTAGTTTTTATCTTATCGAGTGCCATTGACTGTTCCTTGAACTGACGATCGAACGCTAGATAAAATACTTGAAATATTGTAATTGTGTTTAATAGACAAAAGAACGCGTCCATGGTGCTCCCTTTTATCACTTTATTTTCTCTTTCGAGCACGAAATGCCTTTCATGATTTTTGTACGAAAACAACAATAAAGAAGGATTTTCATTTATTCGCATAAATAGCGACAATTGTTCCATTATATTCTAAATAGTCGATAAGCATGCTATTATAGTAATACTGGTAATAATCGTTCTTTAATGGCGTAAGTTCGTTACAAAGGAAGGCATCGCGTGACCACTTTAAACTGTCCAGCTATGCGAATATATTTTTCTTTTCTTATCTTTTATTCTTATTTTTATCTGCTTTCATTTCTTTTGCCTTTGCTCAGCCGCAGTTTTTCCTTTTTCAACGATTTTTGAAAAAAAAAAAAAAAAAATTGAGCGGCGCCTCGCATGGTTGCGCTTCCACCGCGAATACGATTTGTCATAACCGTGTCCAGCTCTCTCAGCGCAAGCTCTCTCCCGGTTCTTTTAGCTGATCTTTTCTCTCGTGCTCCTCAAATGTTATTCGTGAGAGACTCTATTGGCTTCCCTTCGCGTGTTTCTTAAAGATTTTAACTCTAAAAAGACCAGCCTGGTCATTTCGACCCACTACATAAATCAACAAAAATTACTGTCTTCGCTGTCAAGTATAATCGTTCTATTGTTTATTTTCTTCGGAAAAATAAACATCTTTTGCGTGTTTTCTTTCTTTAAAATAACAACAGCGATTCCTTTTGAAATAAGAATTTGCTACGAGGGAACATTAGAAATAGGAAACTCTGGTATTTCTAGTATTGTTACCGCGATACAAAAATCAATCTTGTTCTTTGTTTATTGAATAAACAAGGAAAAGAGAGACAGACGTACCAAAACGAAGAATTCGAGCATTTTAAAGACAATTTAATCGAAGGGAAGCAAATTAGAGAAAGAGAGAGCGAGAGAGAGAGAGAGAAAAAAGAAATCGAGAAAAGTAAATATATAATAAATACAAACTTGTAAAAATAGAAGCAGAAAAGAAATAAAAATAAAAAAAAAAAAATATGACCCTGGGCTACGTTTGAGGGTAAATTGTGAGGGCGGTGAGCTTGAGCGAGGGTGGTTACAGGAGCCTGTACGGAGGTCTGTCCGCGGGACTCCAGAGACAGATGTGTTTCGCCAGCATACGGTTGGGCCTCTACGACATCGTGAAGTCAATCTACGCTGGAATCTTCGACGGTACATCCAACAAACTCCTAACTTTTTGATTACGTAATCCTCCTATATGATATATAATCGAGTAGACACGCGAGCAGCGTGCGAACATACGCTGCGCACGTGCTCTCCATCTTTCTGTTACACGAGCAGAGTAACACACGCGTAAGTAACGGCTGATTGATCGATAATCAGCCACCATCGGCTGCCTCGTGCTTTTTCTAAGAGATTATACAAGACAAAACGAGATAATATATATATATACATATACATGTATGACGATAATAATAATAAGCTGTAGCAATGTACCATATAGACTTAGCCAGATTTTAATCGCTGACCGCGAATCGAAATTTGCAGCGCCTCGGACGTGACGCTGTTTCGTTTACGTTTCCTTTTTACTTTCTTTTTTTTTTTTTTGTCTTTTTTTCATAATTGAATCCATTGAATATCGAGTCTAGTTCCATCGCTGATCCACGTCGTTTCCATGACCGAAAGTTAACTATCGAAAGGGAAGTATAAGAGAAAGAAGAAAGAAGATTTAAAGATAATGGCTGGAGAAATCTCTGCCACAGATTGTCGTTTGTATTTTCCTTCTGTGCAAATTGGATCACTCGTGAAATAATTTACTAAATACTTTACTAAATCTGTACCCTCTATTATCGCGAAACGATCGATTCCTGTATCAAAATTATTCTACAATTATCGAACGCTATTTTGTTTTCTTTCATATTTTTTTTTTTTTTTTTTTCGAGATTGGAGATTTGAAAAGAGATATTTAAAAAAAGTCACAGTTTGATCTCGTGACCATTATATACGATTTTACCGTGTGTATTTTTGGAATTCTTCTTTGAAGTTTCTATCTGTCGCGTGTAAACCAACTTATATATTTATCGATAGAAAAGAGGAGCATGTATGTTTTGGATATTTTTCATGTGTATATGCGTCGATATTCGCGGAATTTTCATCCTGACTACTATTTCTATTTAAAACTAATCTTTCCTTAATGATAAAATATCTCGATTAGAAGCCGAACGGTCGTAGCAGGAATTTCGAGTTTCGTCTTTGCTCTTCATCGTCGCATGTTGTAAACGTTTCCTTGCGTAACTTATCGACGTCATTGTAACCCTTTTCACGGATCAATTTTCCAATTACTCGCATCAAGAGATTTGCTAGAACCGTGTAAATCAATGGCACAAGGTACTCGCGATCAACAACACTTTTCTATCGATGTATGTATAGATATCATTGCCGAGAATAGTCCTGGTAATTAGAGTAAATTAAAAAAATAAGTTTAAACTAAATATAATCTTCAGTAGCTATTCATAGTTGATCTCGAGTATCTGCCTCGAACATCTCGCGTCAATAATCGTCGCGATTCTTGTCGCAACATATTGTACTCCCGTTAACAAATATAAATCGTGGTAATCGTTGAAAAAAAAAGACCTCGTAACGTTCGAAAATTATCATTTAGAAGAGTTTACTGTAACGTGAATATAATCAATGAGCTAATAAACGTGCTGTACCGCGCAGAGCGCGATCTGTCCCACCCTGCATCCTACTTTTTTCGATCTAAAGCCGTGACACAGAACGTAAATAACGTACTCGAAACAATCCAGACACCGACACCGAACCTGGACTGCCTTTTCACTGTACTTTTTTGTCTTGGCAGGTAATAACAGGAGCGGATCGAAGAGTATTTCCGTACGAATCGCCGCTGGAATGACGACAGGCGCCATGGCGGTGATCCTTGCTCAACCGGCTGATGTCGTCAAGGTCCGCTTTCAGGCTAGAGATATTGGACAACCGGCGAGATACAGCTCAACCCTAAAAGCATACTGGAATATTGGTGTCAAAGAAGGAGGGCGGGGTCTTTGGAAAGGTACCACCAGCACTTGTATTACAAGCCCATACCGTTTACACGCAGAAATATGATCCTCTTGCTTCGGGCGAGAGTACAGATCCGTCGCAAATTGCCGAGCTTCTGGAAAATCACCGTTCAATCTTTATAAATCTTGAACCCTTTGCCTTGTAATTTCGTGTCACACTGGTCCTACGAATTACGTTATAAAGATTGTATTTACAGCGAAATTTATCTGTCTAAGAAGAGAAGGTTCTCTAAGAACGAGTCACAGTGGCTACAAACAGCAAATGCAAATCCTGATAAAATATACCTCGTTGGAAAATGAGAGTATGCGCCGAACCCCTATTGTAGCCACTGTGTACGTAGTTTATTATAGCCACTACCCTCTAATCCGATCTACGCAACTCCACCGAGCCTCTAATCCGTACAAAGTATAATAGGTATTCTCACAAGCAGACTCGATCGAAACGGGAATCGTTTGGAATTATTAAACGTAATCCTTTGATACGATCGTATTAGAGTCTAAACGGAAGATCCGAAGCCTATTGCAATACTGTACTATTATCGTAAGAGAATTAAGAATCGACTCGGCCAAATTTAACCACGTTTTCATGTTTAGGAACCGTACCCAACGTCTCGAGGAACGTGATCGTGAACGTGGCGGAGATCGTCTGCTATGACGTCATCAAGGAGTTCATCTTGGAGCACAATTACCTGCGCGATGGAATCCCTTGTTATCTAACGGCCGCCATGGTGGCAGGATTGTGCACCACCTTGGCTGCTAGTCCTGTAGACGTGGTGAAGACTCGCTACATAAACAGCGCTCCTGGCGAATACAAAGGCGTGAAGGATTGCGTTGTTCGTATGATGACGAAGGAAGGTCCATCCGCGTTCTACAAAGGCTTCGCGCCCAGCTTCACGCGTTTAGTGTCCTGGAACATCGTTCTATGGATCACTTACGAGCAGTTCAATATCTACGCGAAGAAGATGAACAACGATCATTGAGCACCATAGCTGTCGCGTTCTACGTGCTCGATCGACCGATGTATCCGTCGATTTACAAGATGTACACATACGAGCCGTGTTTTAATCAACTGCAGCTTCATAGTCTGTATTTCGATCATGTAGCTTAGAGATGGGAGGATGTATTATCGTATATTGGTTAGATTTGGTCGTTTCGAATAGAACTTATTACCTGCCGTCGTTTGCAGGTACACTTACTAATATCGATGCATGCATACATACGTATAAGTTTCTCTCTAGGTACCTTAGATAATGTATGTTATTGATTTATTAAAAGTTACAATTATTTACTTTCTATCGATCGTTGGAATCGCCGGGTTTTTTTCGATGAATTCGATAACGCTTAATCGCCTGTCTGTTGTAGAGGACAGTTTCTATCGCTAATGCTTTTCTACCTAATGCGTATTCGTATGTAACAACTACTTGGAAAAGATTCTTGCCTATGCATACGTAGAGGGTGTGTTTACGATGGAAAAGCTGTTACGCTGTGCTCTTTCGTAGGGTATAATCGTTAGCACGATGACACATATTAGACTTTCTTTCTCTTTACTAAAGCAGGTTAAGTGTAAGAAAATTTAAGACGCGATTTTGTTAATCTCACCGATAGCTTCGTTTGCAAACGACGACAGCCAATTCTCCCATCTATCGTTGTATTTTCACTTTTCTCTCCGTAGATAAGACCGCGCGTGCACTCCACATCGACATTTGATCAAATTGAAATCAACTCAAGTTGGCGATTTGACAAAACGGAGAAAACTTGTCCGTCCAAAATTATTTATAAAGTAATTCGAATACCATGCGTATTGCAATTGGTCTATCTTGATTCGATTAATTCTAAACAAGAAAAAAAAAAAAACGGAAAAGAAAGAGGAATGCTCATTTTTCGACAAAATTTCGTCTTTCAACGAAGTGCACGTACGATCAAGATCTTAGAAATCTCTCGATAATCCATAACGAAACATTTTTGGCTACGTAAGTCAGCTTTAGAGACAGTAGAGCAATAGAGAAAAAAGAAATTACTCCCTTTCCCTGCCCCCGATGAATACTAGTATAAAATCGCGCGCTTTACGATACGCCGGACAGACAATAAGATATCAAAATTGGTTTTAACGCGTTTGCGACGTCTGTTAACGAAAGCTACACACACGCGCATACATACGCAAAATGATTATTCCACTGATTTCCGTTTCTAGACTCCGATTAATTTTTCGAGGCACGAATTAAACAGAGATCCTTGGCTAATATTTATCTGTGTAATTGTAATTCGTTCTTCTAACATTTGCGTTATGCGGGTTAATTTGTCGCAATCGTTGCTAGATATTTAAAGAAAAGAGTAGGGGCGGATAATTCGCAATCTCATTTGGGGTCAATTAATATTATACAGGGCACAATTTTTATCGAATTTCGATCGACGACTTGTAGTCTATTTTAAAGGCTATGTTATCATTTATCGATGTACTTTTCACATTAAAAAGCAATTCTTATCTTATTAATTCCGACTGTCTCATCCATCTACATCTTTTTTTATATCCTTTTTTTTTCTCTTTCTTTATTTCTCGTCTTTTTCGATTCACATTTATTAACAAGCCTAATTAGCCAACGATGAAACTTGTTTCTTGTTTTCACTTTATCCGTAAGGATCGATCGTCTTTTTAACGTCACATCGATCTTCGTGAAATTCGTAACCGTAGCTCGAGTACCGTACAGTATTAGTTGTTATTGTTACACTTGAATCTCGATCGATATCAATTAGACCAGTTCGTTACAATGAAATCATTTGATGAAACTTTCGATTGATCGACATTTCTCTTTGTACTGTATCACTGTGTGTAACGAGAAATTTTACTGCCCTTGTATCGTGTAAAAGAAGCTGCGGAGTAGAAAGAACATGTCCAACGTAAAGCGTTTACCGATTTCAAGAAGAACGTATTATTATCTGTATCGTATATGTACTTTATTAACTTTGTGAGTGTCTTTAATTCTTAACAACGTAAGATTGTCACGAACGAACGCCGCTTCATGAAGTTTTTTGCGTATGGAATGTTCTATCGTAGTAGGCACGCTTCTTTCAAAACATACAAAAAGCCGAGCGGAGATACGAATTGAATCGCGTGTTGTAGAATTCACTACAAGACTCACTCGCCTAGATGCCCGATTAATGTTAAATTGTTAAACATGGTTCTATAACTTCGACGTGGTAGGTCGCAGCAAGCCAAATTATCTTCTATCACGCCCAACAGAATTAACACAAAACGAATCGACTGAATATTTCTATCACAAACTTGGATTTTACACGTTTCTAGCACGCTAAACGACTGTACGAAATAGAAAAACCTGTCTCTAATAATCATTCGTTACGATTCGTTACGATTCTGCGCTCTCAATTCTTTTCTATCGCAGAAACAATTCGCAGCTTTTCCACTTGGTTTCTCTACTTTTTTTTTACTCTCTGTACGATTCGATTCGTTGCACGCGCGTCCCACCGATCGAGCTTCGATCTCACGCAAAACACTGTCGACGGCAACGTCTTTCGCCGCGTTGGAAAAATACACTGTTAGCCACTTTTTGTCTTGGCGTTTTCCGCAATTACTAGATTTGTCTAGTCTACATTGTGGTATACTTTTAAGCACCGATCACGCAGTATGTATCGCTTGTAAGCAACTTGTATTAAAGATTGAGCAATACGAACTCTAGAGGCCCGAATTTGGCAAACTTCGTGCGAACATGCGTAGCGATATATGCGATTAACGACCTTGTAGAAGACTGAATCGATTAATTAAGGATTAGTGTAAAATACGAGCAAGAATGGGAGGATTTTCAGATGCTTGCGAGTTTCGGGTGAATACTTTTTAGCGGAATATTTACCGTATTATAAGTAAGCTTTATTTTCTATGATCACAATCGATAAAGTATCACGTACAATTAATGTAAACCGCGAGGTACAGCACGAAAAGAAAATGGACTTTGCCTTGTAGAACACTCGCTTGATTTTTCGCTTAACTAAATCAGTTTGTGGGCGTTTTTGTTCGTAAGAAAAAGGACAATTCGCTTCGATGATTTGTCGTCTTTGAAATGAATTCGAGTCGCTTCTCCGTAGATCCGGTTTAAGTCTTCTACCGAATTGGTTGCTCGTGACGTTGATTTCTCGAAATTCCTCGTTCACTCGATTTCTGACGTTTGATCGTTTGCTTTAGCGAACGAAGTTCTCAAATTCTGGTTAAGCGAACGTACTTTCGGTATCGGTGATGTTTAAGATGCTCAAATTTAATAGAAGTTTCGATTTACAAATGGCGACGCGTTCATTTTCGAGATTGTATACATTAAAACGGGGCTTCAGTTTCTAGATAGGATCTCCGTAGAAATAGCTTGACGTTTGTTACGAGTTTAAATAAAAATTCTTCAAAGTGTACAGAATCTTTCCCCGGTGTTCTTACTTCTTTTATTCGGCAACAAAGAAACCCGCGCAACTTCCCGATCGATGAACGAAGAAACACCGATCGTCGATAATCCCTGTCGATTCCATGAAATTCGAAATTTCGAAATATTGCTAAGTTTCAAAATCGGACTCGTCCGATTCGCAACTGGACGAAATCTCATCCTCCATGCATCCTGATTCCTCGGGAATGCCTTCTCCCATGGGGATCCTAGAGAATAAAAAGAGACGTCTTGACGCAAACATGAAACAATGACATTTAAAGAAACAATTCGTTATCGTGTTAATTAACGTTAGTAAATCGATCAGGCAAGATTTAGTTCGTTAAAGCGCAGATGTTAGTGACACGGAGAATAAATATCTTAGTACAACGATTAATCGACGTTAATCGTGCGAACGAAATTTCTATTATACACGAATCTTGCCTCGGATCGTCTACTCGATCGTTCGTTACGCGATCGCAGCGATGTGATGCACCGCAGTCTTATCCTGAATACATTTAGGGGCAACCTTTCTGGATTTCCGCAAAATGCATTTTCGCGGACAACAGTCTTCCATCAATGACCTGCGTTCAGAAATCCTTCTCATTATCCTCCTCGTCTTTCTACTAAACTCTCCTACCGTCAAACTTCCTACCGTCAAACCTTAATTTTTGTCTCTGCCAACTTACTTCTCGACGCTCCAATCCTCGGCACAGTCCTTCATCATCGACAGAGCCTGACAGAAATCTTGGCCGATCGCCTTCAAGTGTTTGGTATCTAGATGCAAGCCCGCCAACGTCCCTTGGTCACATCCGCAGAAGCTGCTCTCCATGGTGTAGCTTCTATAGAAAAATGAAAGAAAATCAAGTGGTTGTTTTGGCAAGGTAAATGGGTAACGGTCTGCTCGTATACCTCGAAACACCTAACTGCCGCCATATGGCTACCCTAGCCGTGGACTCCTTGTTCCTTTCGACCTTGAACGAGCACAGTGGCAACGCGAACGCCGGAGATATCCTTTGCATGAGGTGCGGCAACATCTGAAACGCGTATCGCGAGAATAGTCCGAGTCGCACGAGAGCACTCGCTATCTCGTTTTTCCTCGTTTCCAGCGACATTTTAACTCAAAATGAACTGTCACGCGATCCTGCAGATTTAACGAGATCGACGAATAAAGGTAAAAAGTTGGATCACGTTCGTACAAACTAGTTGCAGCTGAACCTATATTTCCATGCACTGTATCTAAAATTGGAACACGAACGGAATCGATGTACCGATCCTGTTCGCTGTAAATTACATCGGGCGAAACTCGTTTCGCGCTGATATTTCCCCTCTCGCTAGCTTCAAAACTGCTCCGCTCGTAAATTCACTTCGATAGATCGCGCTAGATTACCGTTCGTACTTCTCGGTGCATGTAACCCGTACAGTATCTAAAAATAATAGCCTAGTCTTCGTTCCTCTTTCGTCCCCTTACCAAATACTGCGCCGGCTGGTCCGGTTTCGCCCTGTCCGCGGCGCTCCAAGAACCCGACCTTGAGCAACCGAACAGAAACACGTTCTTCCTCCGTGAATGGCCGTGATAGTCGACGAAAACATAGGGAGGTCTTTGCAGCACCCTCGTGCAGTACTCCATCAGGCCCTTCGTGTGATAGATCACCGGATGCAGTACCCGGTTCGGATTGCTCCATCGTCTGTTCAAGTCTTCGTTCGTCAGCCCGTAGCGATTACTATAATCAATCGAAAATACACTCTTCCACGAGTTCTTCGCCCACCTTTCAAATAAATAAATAAATAAATAAATACAATCATCGATCGTTGTCGTTGTCGTTGTTATTGTTATTATATCGTGCACGAATAACGTCGAAAGTATCGAGATCGCACGGTTTATTTCGAAACTAGCAAACGAATTAAAATCGATGTAAAACGAATAAACGTCTATTTATAACGCGGAAGAAATTTCTAAGAAGCACGGTTTTAGAATTTCCTGTCAGTTCGCACGTCGATGGTGCACGTCGGACCGAGAAGAAGGAGAAGGGCTGTTGTCGGAGATCGTCTTCATTTAAGGATTCAGCCGCGGTTAGAAGGACGTTTCCGGCGGCCGGAAGTCGGGCCGGAGGAAGTGACGCCTCCGCGTCGCGCATAGCTAATAGTGGGGTTATACGGTGGACCCTTGGCTTTACACAACCGAGAACGCCATTTCGCTTTTACCTGTCATCCTGAGATTGTTTCAAGATGTACACGATGCTAGGTACTTGGAATACCAAACGCGTTTCGTCATCTTAACGAGACGCGTCTAGATCTTTCTCGCGCGCTGTAACTCTGTAAAATTTCGATATTTATCTAAATCGGTGACGTAACTAGCTTGAGACGAAAATACAAGTTTTTTCCAATAATTGCTAATTATTCGTTTCACGATCTCGACGCTAACCGACCGCCCTTCCAAGAACCTGAACCTCTGTAAGAAGCGTAATACCATCGCAGGAACATCGACTGGCGATAGAAATAATTAACAGGTACCGGTCACCATTACGAGAAGTCGCTCACCGTGGGATTAACAATCGCTACACGCGTACCCACGGACAGGAATCTTCGACCGTTCTTCCGATCGAGACATCGACCACGTAATACAAACATTAGCAATTTGACGCCTCGTAATCGCTTCCGGTCTTTAAGGTAGTACAGACGCACGTGACACGGACGCAAGATAACCACGTAACGATCGATATCTGGCATCGAGGCAGATGGCGGCGAATAATAAGAATAATGGACGAGCGGTGACGATGCACCTGCGGGATGATGTACGCGAAGACACGTTCCGTCGTCATCGTCCTCGTCCTCGTCGTCTTTGTCTTTGTCTTCGTGGTCGTGATCGTGGTGTCGAGGACGTTCACCGTCGAGAACATTCGCAGAAATCGTCGAAAAACAACAGTCATCGGAGATAATAGATTTCGTCCGGCGTGGAACGAGATGGAACGGGAAAGGGTAGAGCGAAAAAGAGACACGTCCGACGAAAAAACCGGCAAGAATTACTCTCGGACGTGTATTAAAATGAAATCATCACTGACGAACTTCAGCGACCATG